AATCTAAGGTCACTCTCCAGGATGTAATTTTACAGATAATCTAAGGTCACTCTCCAGGATGTAATTTTACAGATAATCTAAGGTCACTCTCCAGGATGTAATTTTACAGATAATCTAAGGTCACTCTCCAGGATGTAATTTTACAGATAATCTAAGGTCACTCTCCAGGATGTAATTGTACAGATAATCTAAGGTCACTCTTCAGGATGTAATTGTACAGATAATCTAGAGTCACTAACTCTTCCTGATGTAATTTTACAGATAATCTATAATAAAAACATTCAAATACCACTTTTGAACAAACTTAAATAACCTGAATTAAATGCTTGTTTTTTCAAAATGTAGAAACATAACATATGATCCTTATGTAAATTAAATACATTAAAATAAAATAAGATTATCAAATAAAGTTTCCCTTCTTTTCTGATCCTTTACCATTTTTCTTTTAATTAAAGGTTTATTTCTACTTAATACAAGTCATACCTCTTACTTATTCTGTCCTATTTTGTGATTCCTAGTACATTTGACCATTACGAATCAACACTTCTCAACTACTGTTACTTCTATCTACCATCTTACTTCTATCTAAAGTTATTTTAAACAAATTTATGAAATATTTTTGAAGATTAATCTTTTATGTTTTATATTATACGTCAAAAAAGGGGAGCACATGAAAATATAATTATATTTGCTCAAAATACAGTCATTAGAATGTTTGCTGACCTATATTAGGTTTGTCTTGGGAAATCTAACATGATATTTATGTGAATCCATCTTTTAATCTTAAATTATCTGTTTCACCAATATAGAACTCACCACAATTTACAGCATTAAGATTAATGAAATTACTAATGAACAACAAAATACCTTTCATATTTTTCTATTGTTTTTGTAGTTTTAATATAAATTAAATAAACCACAAATTCTTTCTTTCACAGTTGAAAATACCTTCCTTAAAAAAGTCTTTTTTATTAGGCTTATTCAATAATCTATATAAATTTTCATGTTGTCTTCTTGATGAAATAATCTTATCTTTGAAAACATCATTCAATTTTTTTTTATCTACTATTTGTTTTAATTTTGTATCTACAAATAAAACATCATTTACTATATTTTTTGAGCAATTACAAAAGGTATAATATTATTTTCAAGTTTACTAATATCTAAATGTATTTTATTTTAAAAGTTATTCTTAGCAATTTACAAACCACGTAATATAATATTTTGTTGATAGTCACATTACACCAAAACTGTTTTAGCTCCAGTAATCTATTAACTCTCATTTCTTCTCTGGAAACTAAACAATATAGTCTATTTCCAATATTTACCAGAACTGTTATGCATAGTATTAAACATCACTCGTTTGTCATTGGATTTATGTAGTAAAAATTGAAATGGCTTTCCAGGATAAACCTTTCATATGATTGCTTATCAAGTTAAACTCAATCTCCATGGATATAACAAGAGTTTTTACACAAAATTACAGCTAATTCCTCACAAGAAATTGTGACATCGAAAGACCAGAAAGACACCCTGACTTTATGTATATATTGATGTGAAAGTAAGAATGACACATCTTTTATGCCCTGGAGCTCTTCTCTGCTCAGTAATTTACATCCTAAGAATATTATTTTACATGAAAACATTAGAAAGTTTAAAAATATATGCACTGGGCATCATAAGATGTTCAAAACTATTAAAAATGTTATTAGCTCACTAAGCATGTACTAAAGTTCTTTTTGACTCTATTTTTCAAATACTTCTGTTAAAAAACGAGAATCACCTACGCAAGTATTTTTTAAGCTTTTTTTTATACAAAATTCTAACTGCTCAACTAAACGAGCACTTTAATAACACATTCATTAATGTGTGTGTGGATATCAACAAATATGGCATCATTTGTAGCAGACAAAGCAGTTTCATCAAACACGACAAATGTTACTGCAGATTTAACAGCATTTCTAATTACTATTAAATAAACTACATAACACAAACTCTTGAGTAACACTATAATTGTATTAAAGAGCTAAGGTTTATTGGCTCTCATATACCAAATAGGTAAAAATTAATAACTTCTATCAAAAGTTAGCAACTATATATAACACAACTAAAAACTGATAAGCCTAATTTTGTATAACAAACTGACTAGAAGTACCTAATTCCATAAATCAATAAACATGGAAAGCTTAAATACATGCTACTTAGAGAGATTTGTCTCATCATTTGGGGACCTTCTTTACCATCAATATTTTCTGACAAAATCCCAATAACATCTCACAAAATTTGGCCAGCTTAGAAGCCTTATGTTAATACTAAATCAATATATCAAACTAACAATATAAAATAACCTTCACAGGTGTAAAACTTAGATTATAATAAATGATGAAAATAAATAATATTAAACATAACAAATTGATCAATTCATTACTTACTCATATTTACAAAACACAAAAACTAGTTATTTATTTCTACGTGTACAGTACCCTGAGCTCAAGATAAAAGAAATACTAATATAACTGTTCCCACATTGTAACACACATTACCATCAACACAATGGGGTAGTAAAGTGTGTTAACACTTTAATACTCAGGTGGTCGTGATACGTTTACCATTTCCGATTTATAAAAATAAAACATTAAAAGAAATACAAGTTCTAGATGCACCTGAAAAGGATGAATGCCTTAAATTTTCTTTTATAATATAAAAAAAAAATCACTGAAAAAACAAGAACATTTTCTGTTGTTTAGAAAAACTAGAAACTTACTTTTCCTTCCACTCTGCTCACCGATGTCAGTTATAATGTTTGAAAAAGTATCATAAGGGTTGGTACCAAATCTCTCTCTCCACTGAATTTCATCCAAATATCCTTGAACAGTTTCAAGTTTAAGCTGAGCGACAATGAACTGTCCAAACATAGCACTAAGCTGTACATATAGGTAATTCTTAACTTTGTTAACATTATGTTCTTCTTCTTCTTCTTCTGAAGCCCCTGCATGAGCTAAAATAAAGGTATGGCCACTCCTGGTAATTTCTTTCATCCTCTCCTCTGAAGACACAATCACAGAGTTGGGTAACAGCCACGGTTCCAAACTTCTAATGTAGACAGATGCAGACCAACCCATTGATGAAGAAATAGCTTTCATTCGAACTTTTCCACTTTCTCTATCATAAGCTCCAAGTATACTAAACCTACCCATGTATGCAAAAGAAACTTCAACCATGGTGCCAGGCCCGCCGAGTTTTTTTGACTTGAGTACAAGAGCCCTAGCACAAACCTCCTGGAGTGCTCTCCATACCGACCTCGCCATATACACATCTACATTTACTTCACCCAAAGTGTCATTCAGATCAGATTGAACAGACCAGTGATAAGTCAACTGCAAAAGCTTTGACAAAGGAATGCCGAATCGTCCAAAGAAATTTGGTCGAATTATCTGGGATTTTTTTCCGCATCTGAAAGAATCATAAAATATAAATTTCCCCAAACATTTTTATTATAATATACATACAATACATTACCAAAAGTATTCGGACAGCATATCCAAACTTCAAATCAACCATCCCAATCCGTATTTATATACTTTTCTCACACTGGCTTTATGGCTCTTCCATAAAAACTCTGAATAGACAGTTTCTATCAGATTGTGGATGTGGTAGCATCAGCTCCAGTGCACTTGTTGATTTCATGGATGATAGATTTAATGTCAGACTACACAGTTTCTTGTTACCACATATTTTAAGGTTCTTCTGGCTTGATCTAACACTTCATTTGGACTGCCTGTCCTAATTTCAACATTGGCATGATCTGTTGTCTTTCATTTCCTAAGGACATTATCCACAGTTGTGATGGAAATGATGCAAACACTCGTCCCCCACCCACACCACTTGGCACACAATAACCATTCCAAGTTAAAAGTCAGTCAGCTCTTTACCTTGTGACATCTTGGTTAGACCTGAGATTCCGTACATGCTGCACACCTTTATAAAGCACATGCTGCTTTGCACTCACAAGCCATGAATTACAAACCTAAATGCAAAGTTTCAACTAAAGTGGTGCATGGAAAATCAAAATTGGTGAATTGAACAGCAGAAATTCACCATGTGGAGTGAAGAAACACAGTACATGTTGCTTGCATCCAGTGGACAAATTTGGGTTGGGCATCAAGTGGCCAAGTGCTACTACACAAATGATTATGTTGTCCCAATGGTAAAAGATGGTGGAGGAAATTTAATGGTTTGGGGATGTTTTCCAAGGTCTGGTCTGAAAGAGGGCCTAGTGAATGGACAGATGAATGCTTCCATCTCATTTTGTACAAGGGTGCGGTACCAATGTTGATGCAATACTATGGTTAGGGCCTTTCATGGTGTTAGAAAAACATATAGGTTCAAGAAATCAATTTAACACAAAGATATGGTACCTTATAATCCAAGCTCTTTCACAGGGCTTCAACATACACCTAACTGAACCACTACAGGACACCTTGGGACATTGCCTGAGGTCCAGAGTCAACAGACCCTGATCCAATACTAAACTGGCACTTGCTCTCTGAAGGAGGAATGATCCAATGTTACTTTGCTCCTTATATCTACCAAAGGTTAGTGATAGGGTCCAAAGAATGATTGTTGCCAAAGGTAGACCAACATCCTCTTACAAACATAATAAACAATTGTGAATTAAAACCTTTGCACATTTCCTTACTGACCAAATACTTTTGGTAATACAGTTTACATTACATAGTATGAAAGAATTCTTTGCTGATATTTAACAGCTAATATAAAATAAAGACAATCTCTAAATTCCAAATTTAAATCACGTGAGAATGATCAGCACTTTGCAAGGTGGGATGAAAAGCAACAGTAGTAATAACCTTTCCTAAACTCAACCGAGTGAAATGAATATCATTTCAATATAAAAATACTGACCAATTAGAAGTGGGTTACATGTTAAGTTTTTCTTAGCTATGATTATGTGTTACTGTTTAGTAAAGAATAAACTGATCGATAAGGGTAAAAGAGCATTTTCCTCTATAACACACAACTAAATTATCTTTAACCCTAATAATCATAATTTGTGTTAAAAGTGTTCCCGAGTTTCAGATAAATAGAAGTTATCATAAAGATGAGAAAATATTTGCATACCTTTTCTTTGAGAAATCAGTGGAAATTTTGACAACTATAAACTTGTCAAAAAAACCGTAGACAGAAAAAGATTTATGAAAGATGTTATTCATACTGAGACACAAATCCGTGCCAGCACTACAAAGTGTGTAGTGTAAACATCATGATTACGCTTACCTTGCAAGACCTACAGATGTTTGTTTGTTTGTTTTGAATTTCGCGCAAAGCTACACGAGGGCTATCTGTGTAAGACTAGAGGGAAGGCAGCTAGTCATCACCACCCACTGCCAACTCTTTTACCAACGAATAGTGGGATTGACCGTCACATTATAACACCCCACGGCTGAAAGGGCGAGCATGTTTGGTGGGACGGGGATTCGAACTCGCGACCCACAGATTGTGAGTTGAGTGCCCTAACCACCTGGCCATGCCGGGCCTACCTACAGATGTAATTTAAAAAACTTTTTATATATTACAAATACACAAGTTAGGGTATTTTAATATAATTACCTTTCATAGCCACATTTCCAAACATAGCCATCTATACTAGTGGAATCTGGTACAAGATCTGATGTGCTTTTTGTGCAAACTAAACATAGAGGATTTTCAGGCAACATTTTCATAGTAACTAACCAAAATGCTGGTTCTTGGAAACATTTCTCTTCCAGCAATTTCTTTTCTAAAAACAAAAAGTACATAAAAATGCATAGAAAATAAGCATATTATATTAATGTAAAAATTTGGAAAACTAATTAGATCATCTCTTGTTTTATTTAAATTTAAAAAAACGTTTTTAATTTTAGCTTGAAAACAAATTTTCTGTAACAACAAGCATACCCATTAATTTAATACTCATCTACTAGTTCTGGATCAACAGATATGTATTAACACAACAGTTAGAAACAAAGAACCCATGATACAATTTACAAACACTATATATAAATGTATAAAATGCTTGTTTACACTTGTGTATTCCCTAATACAATATCGGACTTTAGGCAAAAAACTGAATGTAGTCAATATTTACACTAATAAGCACTAATCCTTAATCCTTGAATTTTTAACAAATTAATGGATTTTCAAATTTTTCAACAGAACTGATTTTTCAGGTTGAAAGAATTTTCCAAGTAGTAAATATTTTAAACAACAAAGAAAGGCTTAACTACTGGGGATTATTGGTTGGAAAATGAATATTTTTCCCTATGTTTCATAATGTACATAGACAAAATTAACAATCAGGTGGGTTGGACCTTCTGGTTTAAATCGAGATGACTGGAGTTTATAAAAATTAAATATGTGTAAGCAATAAGTTTGTAATTTGTAGTAAAACTCAAAAGGTCAAATAGGGATGGAAAAAGTGTTAAGTTGGCAATTTGGAGCAAACAAGTGTCATGTGATACAGAGAAGTAAAGACTGAGATTTCATTTAAACATTTCCTTGTGAACTTAAGAAATTAAAACACTTAATATTCAAATTTGATTTAAGTACATTTCAGTGCCAAGTTTACTGACATAAATTCACAATATTGTGACATGCTCATTTTGACTTCCAACCACATACATAGGGTTAACAAAGGTTTTGATATCTTTGATACATTTACATACACATGTAAGCATGTTAACCATGCTTCATTAATGTCTAGAACATTCAAATTACACAGGAAATGTACTGTGCATTGTTTTACAGATAATAATTCTAACCTTTTCTTACTTGGTAGATAACAGTGTAGGCAATGAACAAATGTTACAATCAATAAATACAGAAAAAGCAATAAACCTTACAATTAGTAAATATAGAAAAAAAACTGAAAAATGAAGCAAAAAAAAAACATTTTAGGAAACCACACATCACTTTAAACCACACTTACAACTTAATCATGTCACTTTAATGTTTTCTTGATGAAAAACCAGTCTGTTTAACTCTTCACTTTAAAACCACACTTAGAACTTAATCATGTCACTTTAATGTTTTTTTGATGAAAAACAGTCTGTTTAACTCTTCACTTTAAAACCACACTTAGAACTTAATCATGTCACTTTAATGTTTTTTTGATGAAAAACAGTCTGTTTAACTCTTCACTTTAAAACCACACTTAGAACTTAATCATGTCACTTTAATGTTTTCTTGATGAAAAACAGTCTGTTTAACATTTGACTTTAAAAACCACACTTAGAACTTAATCATGTCACTTTAATGTTTTCTTGATGAAAAACAGTCTGTTTAACTCTTCACTTTAAAAACCACACTTAGAACTTAATCATGTCACTTTAATGTTTTCTTGATGAAAAACAGTCTCTGTTTAACTCTTCACTTTAAAACCACACTTAATCAAACTGTCAACAAATAGTTTGTAGAATATTGAAACAGACTGAGAACTAATCAAATACAAATAAGGACTAACATGTACCTGCCCTTCATCAGAATAAACTAACTGGTTGCTGGAATCTAATCTACAATTTAAACAACCATTATCAATGATATCCATTTTATAAAACGTATATATAATAAACACCAAAATAATTTATTTGTGTCAAACTTGAAATTATACATTTTATATAGCAAATAATATTGTGTTTAATTAATGGGCAGTCACAGACTCTCTGTATCTCAGAACACAATCAATTTTATGTAATACTAAAATATCTATACACAAGTTGTAATCCGTAATGCATTCCAGTTATAAACAATAAATTGTTCAAGACATAAATTTTAAGCTTAAAAGAATATTAGATTATTTGATACCCTAAACATAAAGCATTTTCAAAATTACTTTGTTAATCCTCTTAACTGCAGAACATCATATACTCTTGGAACAAGCTTGAAATTATGAAGGTCTCCAAGAGTTAACATATCTGTTACAGCTGGTACGATACAATTAAATACATCACAACTGTTAAAAAATAGTGTTCCTCCTTCACTGAAAATGTTGTACATTGTACCCATATAACTTAAATGCTAAGCCAGTGAAAATTTGTGGTAATTTATTTCATTGTATGCATAATATTTCTACAATCGAGAAAACAATTTAAACTTTCTTACTGGCTGCTTGAACTTCTAGTTAAAATATGATATAAACCAATTTTATAAACAAAAGAATGACCATTACATAAACTGTATACCTCAAACAACAAAATAATTTATCTTTACAGAAAAATCAATCACACACACACAAAAAGATTAAATTTAACACAAAGCCTTACTTAGTTTATCAATGCTTTCTTCAATTTCTTCAGAGCTAACTTGAGTCAAAGGTTTGGGTTTGATGTCCATCAAGGAATGAGCAGAAACAGTTTTACTGGAACCTTGGATTAAAGTTGTATGTAAATGAGGCGACTTCCCTATCTTACCACTTTCATTGTGTTGCTATCAAATAAAAAAAAAGTATTTACACTGGGAAACAATTTTTCATTGTTGCAGAATTTCTGAAAGCCACTAGCACTAAGAAAGAAATACTTCATTTTCCTTCACACAACATTTGGGAAACAGTTCTCGACTTGGATCTTAAATAGAATATTTTGTTCAGTGAGCAATTAAACCGTAAAATTACATTTTTAATTCAAAAATATGTTGACATATAAAATTCTAGCTCACGGTCGAGTGAATACATAAAATATAAGCTCGGTTTTTTAAAATAAAGTAGTTACTGAGCTCCGACTTCACAGAATAGAGTACTTACATTTTTTAAACAACTATAGAAAATTAAAACTAATTATTTTAATAAAAGCATGGTTCCAACCTTATAAAACAAGTGTAACAATTAAGTGAAATACCAGAAGAATAAACTTACTTTCAGTGTCAAATTTTTCGGAATCTCTCCTGTAAGGATAAATAAGAATACACACTCGTAAGTCACTATACAATTATAACAAGTAACTTCACTTGACTAATTAATTAGAAATTTTGGCAATATACTTTTATCAATAACAATGCTGTGGTAATGGAGGTGCAAGGACTTTTGGGGATTTTTTTTTCCGTACTAGGTATCGTAAAGATATCTAGAGATTATGCACTTATATTCTCCATTTCTAAAACATGGTTTGAAACAATAAATTTTAATTAATTCAAGAACATAGCTCTGCCTAAACGTATGAGATAACAAATAGGAAAGACAAAATGAAAAACAAACATAGCTTCTGTCAAAGGGAAAATAGGAAGAAAAAATATCCGTTAAAAATATGGTTGAAATCAGAAGAGAAGAAGATACATTCAAAGTGCCTGTGTATAAGAAATAAAATGATGCTTGTTTGTTTGTTTTGAATTTCGCGCAAAGTTACACGAGGGCTATCTGCACTAGTCATCCCTAATTTAGCAGTGTAAAACTAGAGGGAAGGCAGCTAGTCATTACCACCCACCGCCAACTCTTGGGCTACTCTTTTACCAACAAATAGTGGGATTGACTGTCACATTATAACACCCTCACGGCTGAAAGGGCGAGCATGTTTGGTGTAACGGGGATTCGAACCCGCGGCCCTCAGATTGCGAGTCGAGCACCCTAACCACCTGGCCAAAATGATGCTTTCAACATTTAATAACATCTGGGGAAAGAGGTGAAGGTGGGGACAACATATTGGTACTTTGCACAATAATCATATAGTACATCCCTCAAACGTGGAACTGAACAAATATAGTTCTGGCAGTTAAGAAATGAAAAGGGAAATGAATGTAAAAATATAGATTCCAACTTCTGTATAATGGGATACCAAAACCAAGACAATAACATGGACTACGATACAATGTTAGTATGACAAAAGTGTAAATATTGTGATATTACTCCAAACAAGTCACCACTGTAGCAGGCTGAAAATGACAGATGAACTATCACAAGATAGAGATCTGGTCTGCCACACACAACTGGAGATATTATATTCAGGCCAAGATTATCTCAAAAAACATACTTGCTATAATAAGCAAGCTAGCAGGTAAAAAAGTTGGTTGTAATTTTATATCTTAGCTTAATCATCAAAAATAACAAGTACAAATTGTATTTATGAAACACTTATAACTCACTAATGTTATATTGTGTGTTTAAATCCTTGAATTTGATGACATAGTACCTGTCCACAAGATTAGGGATGATTTACTATGTACAAGTGACCTTTGACACATGGCCTTCAGAGGTTAATTATGTTTAGGACATTCTATATAGTACCTGTTGCAAAAGCTTGGTCAACATCCACTCATCCTGTAATGAAATATCATATCCACAAAGTTGGCAAAGATTTTATTCATACCAATGACCTTCTGACCTTGATCTTTGATCCACAATCTTCAAAAGTTAATTGGGCCTATGCCCCTCCAATTGGATGATGAAATTCCAGTACACAAGATTGGGGTGGATGTTCTAAGTGCGTTTGAGATTTACTTTAAAAAGTTAATCTGGTCTAGAAATTTGTATGTAGCACCTGTTGTACAAGTTGTGAAAATCCACTCATCCAATCTTGAGAGATCAAGACTGACAGACAAATGAATAGAATATCCCCCACTATGAAATACTTTACAGTGAGGAGCATCGAAAAATTATTCATATTGCACACATTAAAAATTCTGGTTAAGAAATAAAAACTGTCTTTGACTAAGCAATGCTTCAAATCACAAAAAAGACCAAACATCATACTTACCTAATATTAAACTATGTTACAGCAGAAGGAGAGACATGATTACAGTTTGCTTGTAGTTCTACGTAATATTTACATTCAATCAAAACCAAACTAAACACAGAGTTCGGGTAAGGAAAGTAAAGGATTTCTACATCTTCTTTAGATTCATGTTTGTCTAAAATTAGCTCTAAAACTACTACCATATTCTACTGGGAAAAAAAATGGAATGAAATACAAGGTTATCAAAATACATATTTTAGTTATGTGGGAAGACTATACCCTTTTCATTTTCATGTCAACATTTACAACAAATTTATCATATACAAAGCTTGTGTCTGACAAATTAATTTCTCCAAAGTACAAAACCACAACATAACCTACTATAAACTCAGCCTAACTCAAGAACAATAGTCACATCAATTTCATCTTCAAACTTCTAAAATATTATAAAAAAAGCTGAAGGACTTAAACATACAAAACTCTAATATCATTAAACATAATTGAAGGTTTACTCAAAAGTCTGAGATTCTGAATACCATGTTAATTTTCATTTCCGAAGACAAATGGTGAAACTGGAGGAGAAACATTACTACCAATAAAAAAAAAAAACTTATTTATAACCAAAAACATTTTGAAACTACTCAGAATTATTACTAACGCAAATAAGTTAATCAAAACAGAGAAGTCTATAAACAGAAATATGAAATTCAGTTATATTCTGTTAGGTCTATCAAACTTATTCCAAAATGAGTGGAACTTCTTTTAATCATGTTAATAATGTTCACTCCCATGAACCTGCAGCTCCAATCACCATCATGGACACACCAACATCAAAGAAAAGACCAAAGTAAGGAATGAGGTACATGATGTTGACAAGGCAAATGCAAGATACAGAGTGATAAGTTGTTATGCATCAGAACTACAGGATCTATCTGAGAAAGGAAACTAAAGACATAACACCAAAAAGTTGAAGAAAAAGAGATCCAGATAACACCAGCACACACAAAATGATAAATCTCCCAAACTTCTTTGGTATCCAAATGAATGATATCATAAAATGAAACATTCAATGTAAATCAGTGCTTATGACTTGAAGCAATTGATAAGATATAGTTACGAGTTCAATATAATAGTTGTTTAACCAGAAGAGTTATCTCTTTGTTCATTTCTTATAATAGTCAAACATGAACTCCATCAATATGTTGAATATGTAATGTTTTAGTAAATTCAAAGTTAACATCCTCCTCAACTGGAAATGCACTTCAGATAAATACCTACCTTTACAAAGAACAGATAGCTAAAACCTAGTGCCATTGGACAGTTCTGTGGACACATTCAATTGATCTGCCAGATTTCCTCTGAAGGGGACATAAATGATTACATCGGAGAGAGAAAGGGAATTCAAATAAAGCTAGAGTCTCCAAAATAGACAGAACCTCTCGTGCAGGAAGAGAAGGAGACATGAATGCTTTGGTAACCATTCAAGTGAATCAGACACTTAGTAGGTATCAATCCTAACTTGGAGAGCTTGACCAGCCAACCCAAATGAGACAACTCCAACAACAGAAGGGAGGTCCAAGAACAGAACAAGTAGGAGCCAATTGTCCATACAGTAGTGGAAATGCATCTTCCACGCAAACCTTGCCAGAAACCAAATGAAATGGTACAGGACCATAGTCAACCTCAATGTAAGTGCCCTAAACTGAAAAATCGGATTGCTTGGACAAAGATGATGGAAGCAATGGATTGCCAGATGAACCACAATGGAGAAAAAAGTGTATCCGGGTCATCAACAACTCAAGAGAGAGAACACCCACATCAGGTGTGGAAAACTTTTCATCATGAATCGAGGGATGAGAAGTAATTGGTTCAACATTAATGGAATTATGGTAGGCTATCATTCCCCTGGCATCTTGGGAACTATAAAAAGATGGGAGTAAAGTAAACCCTGTAAGAGGGCCTTGGACCTGTTCCACCGTGTGCATTGTCTGAAGTGAGGACACAGCCTCCTCTAGGGGCTAAAAATGCAAGGGATCTGAGGGGTCAGAGAAAGAAACGGCTGAAATTGAAAAGATGCAGAATGCCTCTAAGAGAATATCTGTGTGACTGAAAGGTTCTCTACAAAGGGAATCCACAGGTATACAAAAAGTGCCTACTAGTCTGTATGTGGTTAAATAGTAACTTTTTTATCATTGAATTAAAGAACTACCAAAGAAAGGCAACCTTTTCCTACTTAAATTGCCATATAAAAGACCGACAAAATATATAGGTTATACCTGTAGTTTTATTTTGTACTGTCATTGACTGTAACTTCGTTGTATCCTTCATTACAGACTTCATTGCTGTTCCTGTGCTGGTATCAACCAGTAGTTCAGGTACACTGTTTTCCCCACTGGTAGTTTGAACTGATGATGGTTTTGTGGTCTGTAAGATCTAGAAAACAACATGGTAAACATTTAGCAGCATACAAGAGTGTAGGACAATGATTTTTCTATAAACAAATTTCCTGACACTTTAGTTCTTTAAGTGAAGTGTACGTAACTAAAATAATATATATATATCATAATTTGTGTAATTTTTACATCTGAATAAACAAGACAGACACATGTAATCAATATCTTGAATAATTATGGTTTATCAAATAAGGCAAGAAATAAAACTTTGCATACAAAAACTCTGAAAGCAGCAGCAATGTTCCTAAAAACATAGCCCTGCTTACCTTAATAGCACTGTTATCAAAAGTATGGGATGAAGAATTGCAATAATTATAAAATCAGTGTTTATAGGTTTGTTTGTTTCTTTTGTATTTTGCACAAAGCTACACGAGGGCTATCTGTGCTAGCCGTCCCTAATTTGGCAGTGTAAGACTAGAGGAAAGGCGGCTAGTCGTCATAACCAACTCTTGGGCTACTCTTTTACCAACAAATAGTGGGATTGACCGTCACATTATAACACCCCCATGACTGAAAGGGCAAGCATGTTTAGTGTGATGGGGATTCGAACCCGCGACCCTCAGATTGCGAGTCGAGCAGCCTAACCACCTGGCCATGTGTTTATAGGTACTAACCCTAATCCATCGCTTTCCAGCATCATGATATTAAATCACTCAGACAGCTGTTCCAAAACTTGTATAGTTTTATCTTGTCAACACATAACATATAGCAATAAAACTACACAATGTATTGGAGAATCAGTATACAGGAATAAAGTTACACAATATATTACAGATTCACTTTGAAGATGCTCGATACTTACAAAAACTAGAGGGCACTCAGTAGAGTATATACCTCCTCTACGCAACATTGATCATATTTGGCTCTCAAAAAATATGAAATTGGATATGAACCCTTTTTTGACAGGACAATGAGGAATAATATTCTACATATGTCCCCCAAGTTTCATCAAAATCTGATAATTTTTGACTGAGACGTAGAGCAAGAATAGTGTGAAGAGATAGGAATATTTTTGAATTTTCGTGACCTTGACCCTCCAAAAACTAATCATTTCTAAGTTTGGTTATAGTCCAAATGTATTCCAACTTTCACCCAATTCCATTCAGACTTTTTTGAGAAACCTTGCTGACATACACACACATAAGAGAGAAATCATAACTTCTGTCCACCTTCGGTGTCAGACGTAATAAAACTACAGTGTACCAGAGACTCAATTTGGAGTAACTCAATACACAATAATAAAACTAAGATTTATTATAGACTCACTTCGAATTGGCTCAAAACATACAGTAATAAAACTACACAATGTATCAGAGACTCAATTTGGAGTGGCTCCTTACACACAATAAAACTACAGGATTTATTATAGACTCACTTTAAAGTGGCTCCTTATACACAATAAAACCACAGGATTTATTATAAACTCACTTTAAAGTGGCTCCTTATACACAGTAAAACTACAGGATTTATTATAGACTCACTTCGAATTGGCTCAAAACATACAGTAATAAAACTACACAATGTATCAGAGACTCAATTTGGAGTGGCTCCTTACACACAATAAAACTACAGGATTTATTATAGTCTCACTTTAAAGTGGCTCCTTATACACAGTAAAACTACAGGATTTATTATAGACTCACTTTAAAGTGGCTCCTTATACACAGTAAAACTACAGGAT